TGTAAATCTCGTTTAAGTTGGATTGTTACTAATTGGCTTACCTAGCGGATTGAGTTAGGTGTCATCACAATTAGTTGGATTTTTGGTCATGACAATTATATCCTAGCAGATGTCTTGACCTGGACTCGTCACTACTCTACTGTGGTTAGGCATGATACTTACTGGGTACCGTTGTGGTGTATTCACACTACGCTTCTACACATCTTCTTGTACAGATCGAGGTACGTCTGCCCATGCCGGACGCTAGAGTTGATTTGAGTTTATATATTTGGGGACTTCAAGGTATACCTGCTCCACGTCTGCAGGCCTCAGTGTCACATTCCTTTGCGTTTATGACTCATTTCCATCAGTTTTGGGGAATGTATTGGTTAGATTTTATTTTAGGATATTATATCAGTTTATTAGACTTGTTTTAGTATTTCGTTAATTATTTCTGCCAAGTTATGAGACTAGATGCCATCACGACATCCTACAAAGAAATATTTGGGTCGTGACAAGTTAGTATTAGAGCTCTAAGTTCTTAGGTATTGCGAGTCATAAGCAAGTTAAGTAGAGTCTTGCGAATCGGTACAGAGGCGTCTGTACTTATTTTCGAGAGACTAAAGAACTATTAGAAAAACTTCACTTCTTTGATTCATTATCGTGCGAATTGGTTGACTTCGAAAACTGAGTCTTTGACTTTTTATTCTCACACAGATGGTGACGACACGTACTGCTGGATTCGATGATCAGGCACCTACGCCCGTGCTAGAGCCACGGAAGTCCGGGGTCGGGGCAGAGGTTGATGAGGTGCACGTGGTGCAGCTAGAGCACTTGCCCGAGCTACAATAGAGGAGCCACCGGTAGCTCCAGTTGGGGGGAAGGCACCCCTGGCGCCTGTTTCAACCCTTACACTTCAAGAGATCCTCGCATAGTTCTTGAGCGTGTTCAGTACCTTAGCTCAAGCGGGGTTGATTTCACTTGCACCAGCCATATCTCAGGCTGGGAGAGGAGCTCAGAATCCCACGGCCTATACTCCAGAGCAGCGAGTCCTTGTCGATCAAGTTCCAGTTCAGCATGCAGTTAGGGCAACAACATCTGAGGAGGAGCAACTTAGACTTGAGATGTTTAAGAAGTATCACCCTCCCACTTTCAATGGTTTGGCTTCAGAGGATGCGCATGACTTTCTAGAGAAGTGCCACAGTATTCTCCACACCATGGGTATTTTGGAGACGAGTGGGGTTACTTTCACTACCTTTCAGCTATCAGGAGTAACAAATTAGTGGTGGCGAGTGTACGAGGAGGGTAGCCCAGCTGACGGAGCTTCCCTTACATGGACTCGGTTTTCAGAGTTATTCTTGAGAGAGTTTGTTCCCCAGACCCTTAGGGATGCATGGCGCACGGAGTTTGAGTAGTTGTGCTAGGGTACTATGACAGTGTCAGAGTATGCTATCTGATTTAGTGATTTTTCCAGACATGCACCTGCCTTGGTTTCTATGGTCAGAGAGTGAGCCTATCAATTCATCGAGGGGCTCAACTATGGTAATATAGGTTCATCATGGCTCAATAGTTGGATACAAATATCCTATATCAGTAGGATGTAGAGATTGAACAGAGTTTGGAGGGTATGCGGCACCGTGAGAGAGAGGGCAGGGAGGCCAAGAGGCCTCGAGGTACGGGAGGATTTAGTAGTGGCCATGCTGCAGCTACAGCCTGTCATGGTAGAGGCTATGTAATCCATCTAGTTCATTCAGCACTTCCAGCTTCTAGTGGTGCTCTGATTATTCCGAGGTTGTAGGTTGCACACTTTGCTTAGCCACTTTCTACCGCACCTCCTGCACGGGGTGCCTTCAGCGGTCAGTCCAACTGACCAGGGCCGAGCTAGTCTAAGTAGCCATGCCCACCGAGAGCTTGCTTTGAGTATGGTGATATCCGTCATATGGTTTGAGATTGCTCCAGACTCAGGAGGGGTGAACCTCCATAGACTACTCAGGATCCACGGATTCAGTCATGTCCACAGACTTCTCAGGCCATGGTTTCTACCCAGTTGCCACTCCACCCGCACAACCAGCTAAGGGTGGGGTAGGGTCTGGGCGGGTAAAGGTCGCCCTAGAGGGGGAGGTCAAGCCAGATTTTATGCCTTTACTGGTAGGACAGAGGTAGTTGCTTCAGATGCAATCATTACAGGTATGGTTCCGGTTTGCCATATAGATGCATCAGTCTTATTTGATCCAGGATCCACTTATTCATATATGTCATCTTACTTTACCCCGTATTTGGATATATCTCATGATTCTTTGAGTTCTTCTGTTTATGTGTCCATGCCTGTAGGAGATGCCATTTTTGTGGATCGTGTGTAACAGTCGTATTTAGTTGTCATTGGTGGTTTTGAGTCCAGAGTTGATCTATTGTTACTTAGTATGGTTGACTTTGATGTTATCTTGGGCATGTGCTAGTTGTCTCCCTATCATGTTATCCTAGATTGTCATGCCAAGACTGTGATGTTAGTTATGCCAGGTTTGCCATGGTTAGAGTGGAGGGGTGCATTGGATTATGTTCCTAGCAGGGTTGTGTCATTTCTAAAGTCTAGGCAAATGGTTGAGAAAGGTTGTGATGCTTATATAGCCTTTGTGAGAGATGTCAGTGTTGATATCCCCACTGTTGAGTTCGTTCCAGTAGTGAGAGACTTCCCAGATGTATTTCTAGCAGATCCTCTGGGCATGTCTCCCGATAGGGATATCGATTTTGGTAGTGACTTGTTGTTGGGCACTCAACCCATTTCTATTCTACCATATCGCATAGCCCCAGTGGAGCTGAAGGAGCAGTTGCAAGAGTTGCTTGATAGGGGCTTCATTCGGCCTAGTGTGTCGTTGTGGGGTGCTCCGGTCTTTTTTGTGAAGAAAAATAATGGATCTATGTGCATATGTATTGATTATCGGTAGTTGGGCAAGGTTACAGTGAAGAACAGGTATCCGTTTCCACGCAATAATGATTTATTTGATCAGCTACAGGGTTCTAGAGTTGATCATTTGCTCGTCTTCTTTATCAAGAATTTTATTTGAAACCGATTTTTCTACATGCTTTAAGCGTACCATAGACTTTATTTTTCTAGGACTTATTCAAATAGGAGCATTTGCAGTGAAAATATAGTTACTTTCTTTAGGTCAGGAAATACGTTTGGCATACTTAACAATATATTGCAGATGAATAATCTTTTTATGAACTTCAAGTTCATATTATCTTATTCGAGGATCTAGATGTAGAAATGATAATTCATTCCATGTAATCTTTTCTCAATTGTTTATCAATTGACTTTTATACTTTTAAGTATTTGAACTGCAGGTCCAAAACTACATGTATTTAATATAAAACCAATTCTACTTGAATTATTTCTCCACACTTATATATAGCGTTATCATAAATGTAGTCAACAAATATTTTATATCGGTTCCAACCTCCTTTTTTCATAAAGACATAACATAGAGACTCTTCATTCATATTTTTAGGTACCTGAACCTATCTCGAGATTTTATGAAGTGTTATGTCACTTACCTCCTTATTATGATCTTTTGATCAATTGCTCGTCTTCTTTATCAAGAATTTTATTTGAAATCGATTCTTCTATATGCTTTAAGCGTACCATAGACTTTGTTTTTCTAGGACTTATTCAAATATGAGAATTTGCAGTGAAAATATAGTTACTTTCTTTAGGTCAGGAAATACATTTGGCATACTTCGCAATATATTGCAGATGAATAATCTTTTTATGAACTTCAAGTTCATATTATCTTATTCGAGGATCTTGATATAGAAATGATAATTCATTCCATGTAACCTTTTCTCAATTGTTTATTATGTCTCCCCCTCATGTTAGAAAAACTAACTTGCTTCCTTAATTTTGGAAATCCACCTTTGTGTGTTATGGTGTTAATCAAAATATTCACCGCACATCAATAATAATAAGATGAAATTATTTGGTAACCGACCGTACACCACTTGTGAGGGGCAAATATAATATACTTTTGTATATAACATATATCAAACTTATATAGATAACTTTGTTCTCATAAGAAAGAGTTTAGCTATTAAGTGGAGGCACTCAATAAATTATTTTGCTAAACCAACTTATCAAGACAAACTATCTTGAATATTCTGGAAACTATGCTCTAAATTAAATTATTGAGTAAATTACCTCAAAAACACCAGGTTGCGGGTTAATAATAATTGCACATGTAGCCATCTCAAAGATGCATCTTATGTGGTATACATGGCAAGTGAATGAGCCCATATTCACCTTTTTGATATTTCCAGCATTTATGGGATTCAATCCCAATTTTAGTCGGTCTATTAATTAAGGCAGAATAGCCTAGTAGACCATTGTACTTGTTTCGGTTTGTCACCCCGGTCCCTGCACTCTATAGAGTTTCATCTAGATATTTATAGTTTCTAAAACACACTATCTTACACCCCTCTGATGGTTGACCTAGCTTACGTGGCATAGGTAAAGCTGAGGTGAATAAAATGTATGGTACACACGCGCAAAAAGAGCATGATTACAAGGATTCCACGGCAAATGACTAAAATAAGAGAAACAAAAGAAAAATAAAAACACAACAAAACAAAGAACCCATGGTTCTCTGTTGCTACCATAGCTTTTCTTTTCATCATAATTAAAGGGCAATAGAAGATGAATCAACAGACAAGATCAGCTAAGAACCCATGGTTCGTAACAGGAACTTCATCCAACAACATCAAGAAGAATAGGAATTTCATCGGAGCATGTCGAAAAATCATCGCTGGCTACGTTGAAACTTCTGAATCATCAATGGCAAAGACCACACTGGAAAAGTTCGCCATCACCGGTGACGGAGACCACCGATGACCACCACAATTATTTCTTCTGCATCACCCTTATAAGTAGAACATAAAAAAATACAAAAACAAAATCCTAGCAGTTCAAGTCAAATCTGTGAAGCTCTGAAACTAAAACTGAATCTGATAGTCAAAGCAAAAAAGTAAAAATGGAAGCGGGAGACGAAGCACTAGAAATGGTGGACTTAAAGGATTTGCAGCAGCAAAGCAAAGCCCTTGATAAGCTCACGGACTATGTCGAAGATCGTCAGCTTGATTCCTCCCGTGTTCAAACGTCTATGGCTTCAATTTATGCATTCAAAGAAGCTGATCTTCAAGATATGTGGATGAGGGAAAATGAACTAGTTGTTGTTAAGATCAATGTTGTTGATATTGATATAATTGCAAATGAACTAGAGGTGAACGAGAAGGTTGCAGAAAGGACTTTGAGAGAGCATAAAGGTGATGTTGTAGCTGCAATAAGGCATTTGCTGAATTAATGTAATGCAAAAGATAAAGAGAATAAGTACCAAAAAATTTTGTTTTCATTCTGAAATGTATCAACAAAGAGACTATCACAAAAAATAAAACAATCAGGTAAAGAATACCAAAAGAGGCATGGATACGAAGAGCATAAATAAGGAATAAAGATATGGGGTGCCCGAATCTAATCCGTAATGGTGTGTGGGTGCCCAAATCAATTGCTTGGTTTGTGAAAATTATTATATTTTGAAGTGATTGCAACTTCAATTGCTTCCTCTCCCATTTTCAATCTTTCGAAAATTTGTGGTGAATATTCACAAATCCTTCTTTTTATTCTTTGTTTACAATGAGGTAGAGGTAAGAAAAAAATAAGCTTTTGATATTTGCTAGTATCTCTGTTGTGGTTCGGTGGTGAGGTTTTAATGGGGAAGGTGACTGGATATTAAAATGGCGTTGGAGGGTGAAGAAGGTGAAAACGGTGGCCATTTTGCCTTTAAAAAATAATAAAAATAATTTTGCATATTTTATCTGATGTGGATATTAATATCAGTGTGATTGATTAACACGCGGGTCAGAGGGGTGTAAGATAGTGTGTTTTAACAACTATAAGTGTCCAGATGAAATTCTATCAAGTGCAAGGATCGGGATGACAAACCAGAACAAGTACAATGGTCTACGAGGCTATTCTTCCATAAATTAATGAGAACATGCAAGATAAGAGAATTCGTAAATAACTTTCAAGTTATTTAATATTTACCCATGTGAATTCTCTTTTATTTTTGTACATCATACTTAATTTAACATTACTAAACCAATTATGCCAACTGAATAAATTATCAATATTGATAAACTTCCGATTTACACCATGACGTGGTCAATTATCAATAAACTCCAAGTTTATTATGATATGAGTTTTTATATCAATAAACTTCTACTTTATTGTGGTATTCTTTATTTGTATAGTACAAACTGGAGAATAAAGCATGTAGCTTTTCACATACATATTAACCCGCTACAAATAGTAGTAATAGAAGATATTAAATGTTTTCTTTATTTACAGTGTCAATATAATCAACCACTTTCACGAATACTTTAGAAACTAAATAAGTTTCTTTGAGACTTACTATGACACAATACCTTATTGATAATCAATTTTATTTCTCTAAAATAGTAATAATTGGCTCTTATAGAGCTTTCAATTAATTTTGTACTATCACATATTCATCAATATCCATATGAATATCTCTTTCAAGGAGAAAGTTATACCATTATGTTCATAGTCAAAATCACTATAGGCAAAATATGTTGCTACCGTTACTTTTGCCCTATAATAATTACACTGCCATAATATTTTGGCATAATCACAATAGGTACGAGATCAATGACCATTTATGCCCTAACAATGAAATTATTTTCTTATTTTATCTCAAACCTCCTTTGAGTGTGGCTGTCACGACCCAAATTCCACTACTTAGGATGTCGCGATGGTACCTAGTCTTTAAGACTAGGTAAGCATAACATTTAATAGTAACTTAATAGAAAAAATTGAACATCGATACTAAAGTAAACAGTTAAACTCATATAAACTTCCAACATAGGATCTCAATAACATATTTCCCAAAATTGGTGGAATTGAGTCATAAGCTCTACCGAATAATCTAGAATGTCTAGTACAACACTGTCAGAATAAGTAAAACAACAAATTGGAAAGTTAATGGAATGTGATTCCGAAGCATGTGGACGCCGAGCAGTATACCTTGAAGTCTCCGAAAGGCAGCTAACAAGACAATCACTAACGTCCAGCACGGCAGGCGTAGCTGAATTTGCACAAAAAGATGTGTAGAAGCGTAGTATGAGTACACCATAACGGTACCCAGTAAGTATCAAGCCAAACCTCAGTACAGTATTGACGAGGCCAGGTCAAGACACCTACTAGAACATGATAAATAGAACAAAATATAATAACGAGAAGTAATGGAAACAAAGAAAATAAATGATAATAGAATAATTTGATATTGTAAACTATTGACAGAATGGTAAGCATAAGATAACAAGAAGGAGGCAACTAATGAGTAGCACAATAGTCAAATACGGACAAAACTGGTACATAAGGAAGAGTAAAAGCAACAAGAATTTGTTCAACCGATAACTCATTTCAACATGAATTGCACAACAAGAATGACGACTGAGGTACCGCCCCGTATGCACATTTCTCAATTTCGATCACAATCTTTCCTTATATCTTCGTGAGAGCTTTATATTTAGTTTTGGAAATTATTTTTCCGAAATAGCTACTCGTGTTTAGCCCACCTTATCACACTACGTGGCTTCAAGTAGTTCCCCTACTAGAAACACGCGTATCAAGCCCACCTTATCTCACTGCATGCGTAACAAACCTAAGTCGTATACCACTGTATGTGTATCAATATCACAACATAATCACAACTCGTACCACAAGTGCCCATATGCCACAACTTGACAAACGAATCAGGAATACCAGTCTTTCCATAATAAATAGCCCACGGCTCAATCACAATATGTGCAAGAATCTCAACAATAACAAAATGAAAGTGAATAGCTCAACAAGAACAATATCTCAACAATTAACAACTTTGCCTCAATGTGATAACGACTTTTACAACTTCAACATCAATAACGCAACAAGAAGATATTCCATGAAATAACAACTTCAAGTAAGTAATTCAACAATTAAAGAAGCAATAAGACACCTTGCGTACACGACTTTCACATAGCACAATTGGCACAACAAACCAATTCATAAGAGGTAGTTCCCCCACACAAAGTTAGGCAAGATACTTACCTCAACTAGGCCAACTCAACCCTCGAGAATAGCTTTTCCCCTAAAATTCGCCTCCACACGGTTCAAATCTAACCAAAAGTGACTTAATATCAACAACCAATGCAAGGAAAAACAATTACAATAGATAAAGCTTTGATATTTATGAAATTCCCAAAAGGTCAACAAAAGTTAAACCGGGTCCAAGGATAGATTACGACTACCCATAATCCCACGATTCTTACATGTGATAAGTTTTGAAACTCGAGTCCAAATCAACTCTCAAAACTCATATTCTCATTTTTCAAAAACTTGAAAAAGTTTCCAATTTTTTCTCTTTTATCCACATGAATTTGATATTAAATCTAAGATATATTAATGGAATATAGTTGAAAATTTATTAGTATCACTTATCCAATGCTTGTAGGTGAAAATCTCCTCTCTAAATCGCCTCCTACCGAGTCTAGGGTTCTAAAATGTGAGAATTAAGACTAAATCCTGACTTTCTAGCCCTTATGTCCAGCTGCAAATGTTGCATTTGTGACACAGGGTTCACATTTGCGAACCCTCGCAATTTCAAACCCTGACAACCTCAACAGAAGACGCATTTGCGACAAAAGGTTTCCCAATTGCGAAACTAGCCACCATCACAAATGTGACCTAGTGGTCGCAAATGTGTCCCAAGCCCATGCTTGATGCCTTCGCAAATGCGAAGGTTTTGGTCGTAATTACGACATCAGACACCCCCACCCCCCCCACACACACAATTGTCCCCTTCGCAATTGTGAGGCTGGTTCTCACAATTGCGACATCAGAGCACCAACACACAAACAATTCCTATTTCAGCTCAAACCATTCTGCGATACATTCGAAACTCATCCGAGCCCTCGGGGCTCCATATTAAACATCCACACAAGTCTAAAAAATCATACGAACACGCTCGCATGATCAAAAAATAAAAAAATAACATCTAGAACTATGAATCGGACACCAAAACGCATGAATTTCAAATTAAAGTTCAAGAACTTCTAGAATTGCAACTAAGCATCTGAATCCTATCGAATCAACTCCAAACGATACCAAATTTTGTAGACAAGTTTGAAATAGAATAACGGACCTATTCCAAGTCACAAAACCAAATTCCAAACCCCATAGCCAAAAGTCAACCTACGATCAAACTTCTAAACCTCAAATTGTCAATTTTTGGAAAAATAGCACAAATCAACCTATGGACTTCCAAATTTGATTCTGGGAATACACCCAAGTCCAAAATAACGATACAAAGCTATAGGAGCTATAAAATACCATTTCATAGTTGTTTTCACAAAAGGCAACCATTGGTAAATATAAATAACCTAGGCCTCTAAGCCAAGAATCAAAAGGTCTAAATAAACATGAAACCTTCCTGGAACAAAAAAAATCGACCATGTAAGTCAAAAGGCCTAAATTACACATGTGTGAAGCATTAAAATGGGAAACATGACACAATTATACAAAATGACCGGTCGGGTCGTCACATTCTCCCCCTCTTAAGACAAACGTTCATCCTCGAACGTGCATAAAGACATATCTGAAGTGATGAAATGGTGAGGATAGTGACTCCGCATGTCGTGCTCGGTTTCCTAGGTCACCTCCTCAACTGGATGACCCCTCCATTAAACCTTAACTGAAGCAATGTTCGTTGATCTCAACTTTCAGACCTGTCTGTCCAAGATAGCCACCAGCTCCTCAATATAAGTCAAATCCTTGTCCAGTTGGACTGAGCTAAAGTCTAAAATATAAGACAGGTCACCATAATACTTCTGGAGCATAGAAACATATAACACCGGATGAATTGTAGATAAGCTAGCTGGCAATGCAAGCTTGTAGGCTACACCCCACTCTCTCAAGGATCTCGAAAGAACTGATATATCTAGGGCTCAACTTACCCTTCTTCTCGAATCTCATCACACTCTTTATGGGTGAAACCCGGAGCAAAACGCGCTCTCAAATCATAAATGCTACATCATGAACCTTCTGATCGGCATAACTCTTCTGCCTAGACTGTACTATACAAAGTCGATCCTATATTAACTTGACCTTCTCCAAGGCATCTTTAACCAAATCTGTGCCCAACTATCTAGCCTCTTTCGGCTCAAACCAACCAACTGGAGAACGACACTGTCTTCCCATACAAGGTCTCATAAGTAGCCATATAAATACTCAATTGTTAGTTGTTGT